TGATTTTTAAGTTTACTAAAACATGCTGAGGAGCAATGAGTGCAACAGACCATCTGGGGTAACTGTGAACTCACTATTTCATGTATTGCATCTGGACTCTCATACAGGCTATGTACTTAAGTGGGACAGCAAATATCTCACTAATTAAGCAAGTAATTCTTTCATACAGTCTCTAGTTCCCCTGGGAATCTCTGTACTAACAACACCAGATTGGTAATATCTCAAAGTTTCTAAATTTAAAAAACATCCTTAAGGATCCAGGCCTCTTCCTGCATGAATGAATGTTAATAAACACAGAATCATCTAACTTAGACTATTTCTCATTTAACAACTTGAACTCTTTCAATTAATATCAGCAAACTGCCTTGAAAACTGTGAATCATAAATTTCCAGTGATTCAGGGAAACAGGTTCTAGTCTATTTGTGCTATTAACATCCAGAGTAGCTCTGCTGTTCATCAAGCACGTATTACTAGTTAGGGTAACTGAAGCAGACAGCTACTGTGTCAAAGGTGTAAAAACAGCAGTTTATGCCTTACACTGCTACTTCTGCATGCCCCAAAAACCCTGAGTTTAGATCAACCAGCCCGAGCTGTGTCTCGACTTCCCCTCCCAGCCCTAGCAGTCCTACTGAACCCAGTTAAGCCATCATTACTTTTAGATCTGATTTTCTTTTCTTTAGGAGCACACTTTCCTCACACACTCACTATGAACAAGGACAAACAGCTTTTCTTCAGCCCTTTTTTAAAATCCACTTTAAGTTTCCCCAAAAAGCTTTTCCCAGAGATGTTAGCCACAGATCTACAGACAATCCTGCTCTCCAGCACAAGAACAGCTTTCTTTCCAAAACGCTGCTCACCTTTGATGTACTTTCTCCCTTCTTTCCCTGGAAATAGTCTATGCAACCAGAAGAATGATATTTTTAGCATGAACTGCACTTCTGCTGCACTTCCCCAAGTGGAAGATACAGTCATCTGACTGGTTAGCTCTAAGACCTGTCTATCCTGCACATCCAAGACATAGCAGGAAATGGGATACAGGTCTAATGTCAACTGCCAAGCTCTAACAACTGCAAACATCATTTTCCCAGCACCACCATGATCAGGAACTTGGAAAGGTAAGACAGATGTGGTAAAGTTAAAAAAGGGTAGGCCTGAAGCTGTGAGTTGTCACAACATCAACACAGGTCTTCCGAACTCAGCTGTTAATGCTGTAGAAACAAAACTACCCTGCTTAAGATATTGGTACTTAGCAAGATACTTACCTCCTTCTAGCATCCATATCCATAGAGCAAAGCTCTTAGGGCTTCTTTGGACTCAGTTCAGTGTTGACCAGAAACTTCTTACTGCTCTAAGTGTACAGCCTCCCCTACCTCACACACATGCTCAAGCTTCCTGTTCTGGTGATCTCTCCTCCAGCACTTGACAAACCAGACAGAATAAGTGACACCAAATACAATAGCTAGCTCAAATCAACTAAGGGAACCCAGCTGAATGAACAAGTATCAGTACTTGCTGTCACAGAGCAAAAGCAGCAATTTTTCTATAACAATTGCTTTTGTCTCATGACAAAAAAATGCAAGCCAAGCACAAATGCTAGGCTGCCGAGAGGTGGTAAAGAGAGATGAGAGGAAAGAGAACTTTACCAAATGGAAACATGGCTGGAAGACTTGGACACAAACTTGAGCATAGCAGTTTGCTGAACAATCTTCTATCATTCAGAGACTGCTATGAATAATTACCCTACATAAACATCACAGTTACTCTTCCTTACTAAGAGTTTCAGCCTAGGAAAGTTGGTTTGGGCAGCCAGGTAGGAAATACATACTCATTCTGCAGTGAAGTTTGCCTGTGATCATTTACAGCTGCAAATATGACATGGAAAGCTGCTTTGAGTCTGCTCAACACTGCTCTTCCTTAGCATCTGTGTATGCTCTCATTGCATGTGGCCCTGTCTTGAATGAAGCTTTGAAAGGCCTGGAGTCCCCCTCTGCTGCACGGGAAGAGAGAGAGCAGAGCTCCAGAGATGACATGTACCACACACAGCAGCATGGATATAGCATGAGTCTGCCTCAGTGTCAAGAGGAAATCCCTGAGGACAAGGGTATAGTCAAGGCCCTCCAGAATTCTTTGTGTAAGCTTTCCTTCTCAGCCTGGGGGACACTGTCTCATTAGTAAGTTATCTGTTCTTTCCTTCAACAGGAGTACAGAAAAATAACTTCAATAAGTAAAGCCCAGTAAGTTAGGAAAGAGGATGGGGTAAAACACTAGCTCATAAAACTCACCTGAACTAATCCTTACCCTTGTATCAGCTTCTGCCAGCAAGAGAACAGATGAAGTTTACTTATCACTCAGACATAATCTACTTAGTACTATGTAACATGCTGAAAAACATAATATACATATTTTTTAAAAAATCAATGCCATACACTATCAAAATGCATCCATTAAACAAACAAAGAATCAAAAAACCAGGAGATGCACACAGCTACTGAAAACTCATAACCATGGGGGGAAATTGCCCCTGTGGCAAACTCCATTCACTACTTTTGTTGATAATGCAAAACCAGACAGCAATCTTGGTTGGTCAGTGCACAGTGAATGCAAACAGGACGTGCAGTCATTCAACAAAATGCAAAGTCAGACATCTTCCCTCACACCAGGCAGGTCACATTGGGTATGGACAAGGATTTAGAAATTGGAATATACAGGCACTTAACACATGTTTCTAGTGTCTCACTATGACCAAATAGAATCACTCTTTTCACTTACAAACTAAGAGAAGTTACCCCTCATGGGGCAATGGTATTTTTTTACAGGCTCCTTAGGGCACTTGAGACACCAAATGAAGAAGGGCAAAGCTGTATGCCACTCCTAAGAGACTTGTAAAAGCCAGTTAAGAAAAAGCAAGCTCTTGGGAGTTGGCTTAAATGTGCTTTGTACTTATCCATAACAAAAACCTTAACAAAAAAAAATTAAAATTTGCAGAAAAAGATGGTATTAAAAACTCCTCGTATGGGGCATTGGCATGGTCAGCAGTGGGAGTCCCACACGGTTGAGGTGTCTGGATTTTACAAAGCAATACAGAAACTGGAAAGGGTACACCGAACCACAGAAACTACTAAATGAGAGAAAGTACCCTACACAAAGAATCTGAAAGGGCTCAGTTGGTTTCATCTCTTAAAAGTAATGTTAGAGGTAAGGCAATTACAACACATAAATCCCCTCAAAGGGAGGGACTATCAGTTATTAGAGGCCTCTTTAATCTAGCACTGAATAACCTAACAAACCAGTTGCTGGAACCTAAATGCAAATTAAAAGCAAGATACTTCTCCCTCCCACACACTGCTTTCCAGTTTGTGTTAATTAAAAACTGCCAGAAGTAGTGCATCCACCAATCTTCAGATCAAGTTTAGCTGCTCTCTCTCACTGTTATGCTCTAGTAAAATATGTATTTTTAGCACATACAATTCTGCAGACTGAGACACAAATGCTTAGAGTATATATAAAGTCAAACTAGATAGATTTGTCTTTAAACTATGAACCTGAAAATCCATTTTTCTGCAGATCAGCACATTCACAATACATTTGAGGTAACAGATGAAAATGGGAGAGAAATATGGATATTTAAGAGTTTCAGCTGCCCTCAGTATTAATGGCAAACATAAACTACAGTTAGGATACTTTCTGTTTGTTTTCGGGATTTCAACTTATCTTTTGAAAAACCCCCAAGATTTAGGTTGTAACAAAAGGTAAAACTCTCTCTGATCACTTGTATTACAAGCTATCCTCACTAGATTTTTTTCAAATTTGCTTCTTCTACAATGATAGAAAATGCATATACAGTATCTAGTGCAAAGATTAAACTCAAGGCCTCAGAAACCACACAGTGGAAAATACTTTGGAAAATCATGGAAAGGTTAGGTGAGCCAGTCCAGCTGCTGAAAGAAAGTAGTATGAGCCACAGTTCACAGAAGAGTTTGGGGCTGAGGTATTTTCCACTTTGGTTTTGTCAATGAATGGGACATGAGGTGGCTGGGGACTGGAAAAGGGATTGTTTGGTACCAGGCAGGTACACAAAGCTGTTACTCACTTTTAGACTGGATGGTTTAAATCCTGAGTAAAAACTACTACCCAGACTTCTGAAAAAGCTACTGAGTGGCAGTTCAATAACTGTGAACACTATGCACTAGAAGGGACTTTTTTAATAAGCCACGTCAATTATCTGAGCATTGAATATAACCCTTCCCCTCCCTAATAAACTGCCTGCAATATAGATGGCAATCATGCCTGAACAGTAGCAAACTCCCAAAGCTGAAAGGTTAAACAAACAAACAAAAAATCCCACAAGTTTTGCTTTCTCTTACTTCAGTGGGAAATTACTAAAACTAACCATTACCTTCCATAAATTCTCATCCTCCTAGCCTGTTCCACATACTCCTTCTCATCACAGAAACTCAACTCAGGCAAAGGCTAACAAGACAGGCCATTTTCTTAATGTCTGCCTCTTTATTCCAAAGGCTGTGATACAACATCAATTTCTAATCATCCACCTTAATACACACATGTGCTGCACATGGACACCACAGCCAAATATTCAGAGCAGGTCACAAACAAGCTGGTTCATGCTGTAGTTGAAAAGACCTGTCTACATAGCAGCCCTTCTGCTACCAGGCACAACTGGTTTGCAGGCCAAGGCAAGTCACTGCATGCCTTAGCCCAGGCTAGCCAACATCAATATTGTTCCCAAAGTCCCTTAAGAGCATGGAGCAAAATTCCTGTTTCCTCTTCCCCTTATACTAGAGCAGTCTATAGGACAAACAAGATTTCATGTGGTCCAAGTGCTGAAACTCCAAGGTGATTTAGGAAAGCCATGTTCAACAGCATAACCACTTCTATCTCCAGCAGACAGCAGGAACACATCCCTGAGCAAACACAACAATTTAAAGTACATCAGCAATGTTCTACAAGAATAGAGATAAGTAAAGCACCAAGACACCAGTTTCTCTTTGAAAACATATATTGAATACGTGATCTCTTCTTTGGCATCATACAGACCAGACCATGCATTTTGCTTTTCTTTTACAAAAACAACAAAACACATTGATTTCTTGGAGACAAGAGAAACAGGTCTTACCTACAGAGCTCCTATCAGCTGGGGCATTTAAAACTATTCAAATCACAGTGAGATGAGACCCTGGAGGTAAATTCAGCCATATACTTTCCAGAGGAGGGTCTCTTCCCTCTGGTTTTACCTGCTAGGCTTTACCCTGGCTTAAAGCTGACAGCCCATCCCCTGAACGTCACATAACTCTTCACAAACAAGCAAAAGCCAGGACAATCCTAGCCTGCTCTCAGCTTCTCCCTTTCAATCATCAAGATTTTCCTGACTGCAGAGAGCAAGTTAGCTGCTACAGAAAACTTTACCTGAAGTATTCCCTGTGCAAAAAATAACCCCCAAAACAGACCTCTAACCTGAGAGATGCAGACTTCACTTGATGAATGCAGGAACTATTCCTTCACAACTAATTTAAAGACTCTTCTGCAGCTTCAGCATGCCTGAATCTCTTGCCACCACTTATCCTTGTGATTCAGTTGTCTGTCTCTCTCCAGAATGCTAGCATTTTGTGGAAAGCCTTCTCTTACAGCTCTGACACAAAAATTAGCAATCATTTTGACAATCAAAATCTTCTAGCAGCAAGCTATCTTCTATCTTTCCACAACTGGTAAAATGTCTCACCAATATTGCGTATTGCTGTTAAATGAGCAGCTACACTGAAGATTTCACCTGTGAAACCACAGATCAGATTTTACACATTTAAGGCATTTATTTAGCAACAACCAACAAAACTTCAATTGGAAAAATAATATACCCTTTGCATTGCTCCTCTTTATTCATGGTTCGGACAGAATTCATTAGATTAAAAAAAAAAAATTCTGTGGAAACAAGGCAAAGCCTCTAGAAAATGTTTTTGATTTAAAACCACCCCAACTCCCACTCCCTTTAACCAAAAGTTAAACCTTAAAATGTGGAATTGATGAGTGTATTTCAAAGTTCATGGTGCAAAATAAAGGAAGATGGCAAAACCTCCTCAGATTTGTCAAAAAATACAGCTATCCCACTCTTTACATAAACACAATCTCCCTTCCCTTTTTTCTCTCTGCTTCCATTCACCCTACAACAAAATCAATATATACGAACATCAGCAGCAACTTTGATGATAGGCAATGATCCTTTTTGGCATCAGTCTGTGACACGATTGTTGATTCTCTATCTTTAAATTGCGTCATAGCTGTGTAAAACACGCAGTGATATCCCAGACGTGAGCTCTTCACATCCGCTGTCGATACCTCAGCAAGATCCAGACTGCTGTCGCAGCAAGCGCCAGGCCTGGCACAAGAATGGCTGCCAGAGGAAGCCCACCTGATTCTCCATCTGCTCCATGACCCACAGGGCCATTCTGTGGCTGCAGCTACAAGGGAAAAAAAATTATTTATGTCAGAACCCATAACAAGAGAGCTCCCAGTTCTGTGTCTGGACCAGGAGGTTCTGTAAGCATGATCAAAATAGTTTCCCTAGGCACCTGAAGACTCCACACATGGAGAGTTAAAACAGCTTAGGATGAACTGAACATAAATGCAGGGTACCCAGTCTCTACTAGGCACCCTCATGTTTCTCTGCCAGTTTTTAAACCAGGACTCAAGTGGAGCAGGACACTCCTCATACAGCAGAAGAAATAACACACACATACCCAGTCGCCCCTTGATGCACTTGCCACCACACCATTTCCTGCTCTCTTTACCAGGAAAAAGACATCAGTAACTCTCTCTGGTTTTCTTACCTGCCTTATACACCAGTCCAGAAGACTTACTACTTTGTTAGGGGGGTACAAAAGGGATCTCAAGTCACCTCTCCCCACCAACATTCTTTGGGTAGATTAGTATTTCTTTTGTAAACTTCCATGCTATCTGGGGATTAAGGATTTATCTCTTTTTACATCTAAAATGGTGCTAGTATATTTAAAGCATAGCAGTCCATATTTCCTATTCTCATAAAATTATTTACGTTGGAAAGACCTCTAAGACCAACCATTAACCCAACACTGACAAGTTTACCATTAAACTAAGCACCACATCAGCACATTTTTTAAATGCCTTCAGGAATGGTGACACAACTACCTCCCTCAGCAGCCTGTTCCACTGCTTGACAACCTTTTTTCAGTGAAAAAATTTCTAATACCTAATCTAAACTGGTGCAATTTGAAGATGTCACTATTTGTCCGGTCACTTGTTGCCTGGGAGAAGAGACCAACCCCCACCTGGCTACAGCCTCCTTCCAGGCAGTTGTGGAGAGCAATAGAGTCTTTTCTGAACCTCCTTTTCTCCAGGCTAAACTCCCTCAGCTCCCTCAGCTGCTCCTCATCAGACTTGTGCTCCAGATCCTCCACCTGCTTTATTACTCTTCTCTGGATATGTTCCAGCACCTCAGTGCCTCTTTTGTAGCGTTGGGCTGCACACACATTTCAACACTAACTTGAGTGAGGGCCTCTGAAACAAAAGGAGTTCTGTCTCCAGTAAGATTTTGGCCACTGAAATAAAACTGGGCAACGTGAGATTCTGTCTTCACACACAACAGTGAGCAAACACAACATACTCCAGCAAAACAATGACATGGGGACATCTCCAAACTCACCTTTTCACCAATACAAAAGTTACACAGGTTACAAAGTAATACAGAGACAATTACAGTTGAGGCAATAAGAGAAGGTCATAAGTCAAACAAATTTTTTATATGCACGTATCACACTGAGCATCTGGACACAGTACTCTTCTTCCTCATGCACAGCCACCAATCATAGGAACCAGTCTAAAGTGAGCCAGAAATAACCCTAAGAAAGAGTTAAAACATACCCTGCGCTGGATTTTCAGAGACACATAATAGCCAGCATTCCTGAACAGTTCCACAGCATCCTTGTGCCGCAAATCCTTCAAGTCTTTGCCATTGATCTAGCAAAAAAGGAAAAGGAGAGCCAGATGCTGAAGGTAAAGGAAACAAATTTTTAATGATGCAGGCTAACCTATGAAGAATAAGACAAAAGATCTTCATGTTACACAATATTCTACATTTGGGGCATGATACTGCAATCATAAAGATCCTAATTAATTAATTAATATTATAATGTATTTTTATATGTTGAGACAGAACATGAGAAACTCCAAGTGAAAACATGGAGGTACTGAAAAAAACTAGAAGCAAAATTATAAAAGACAACAGTTGTGTCAATAGCAGCTTCTGATGCTGTTGCTTTACTGGAAACAAATCAAAGGTGTGATTCTGAGAGCTAATGAACATAAAAGAGCAGCTACAGTAAAATTATTAAGTCTCTTCCCTTGTTTCATCTACTGGTGTACCTTTGAAATCCCTCTGTTTGAGAGAGTGCTGTAAACACACTTTTATAAGCACACTGATGTAGCAAAACCAATCAAAAAAAATTACATGCATACTTCTTGGCATCCACTTGGTCCACTTGCAAGTGTTAGGATTTTTTTTAATTTAAAGTAATATATCATGTTACTTGATTTCATCACTGAGTGAATTCATCCTACTTTTTCATTTTCACCCCCATTACCCCTAATTGTATCCCCTAAGATCACATCCAGTGCCTCCCTTCTCTTCATATTTAGACACCCCAAACACAAGTACATAAATATTAAACTGTAAGGAAAAAGAGAATAGTCTCTATTTAACTTAATATCACTTTCTGGATCAATAATAAGCTCCATTTAGTGCAAGGTAAGAGGCTAAAAAGATCACATTGGAAAAAAATAAGCAAGTGTAAAATAAAATTAGGGAGTTCAAAAAGGTTGTGTCTCATACTAGGAGAGGCTACTTCTTCACCCAGCACTTTGTAAAGCTTGTTTCTTGCATGAAGAATCAGTGGGTGTGAACATCAGACACTTGAAAACAATTTTCTAAAAGGAGAAGCAGCCTATGTTATTCTTGAGGAGCTGATATGAAGAGAAGAATATTACGGCCTAGAAGTTTTATAGTCTAAAAATACCCCTGCGAAAAAGGATCAGAAATTACAGATTACCAGTCAAAAAAATGGAAATTTAAGAGGTGGAAAACCTTTATTTACATGTGTGTAAATGAGAATCCATCCTGAACAAGAGAACGCTTGATGGATTCTAAAACCTTAGGGAGGCAAGTCACAGAGAAAACACAAGCACAGCACCACAAAGCATTTCTGTGGCAAATCAAGAAGGCAGAGGAGATGAGCCCATGTGTAGAGGCACTCACCTCCCTGGTGCTCAGAGCTCTCCTCAGACCCCCAAGGCAGCTTCTACATGGAGTTTGCTTGGGATCATCTAATTCATTCACCACATCCCTCCTCTCTATGCACTGTGAAGGAAAACCTGCTTCTCACATCACACCACTGATCAAAACACAGGTGACAACAGAAGAAAGGGCTTACCGCTAAAATTTTATCTCCTTCTTGTAATCGGCCATCAAGGTAAGCTGCCCCATCCTTTTTGATCCAGCTGACATAGATGCTGTTGTCATTGGCAATGTACTGCTGATCTGTCCCACCAACAATGTTGAAGCCCAACCCTAAGGCAAGCCAAAGAGAAAGATGATGAGAAAAACCTCAAAGCTTCAAATGTTCTTCCTGTCTTGCTCACTGGGGGCTGCACTCTCCGATACTGCCTTGCTTTCTCCACCATACAAAAACTCACAGCACAAAATCTGCATTATTCTTTCCAACCACCATTGTCTAGAAAAGTTATTTTCATAAAACTAGTCTCGAAAGCAGAGAAGAGACACTAAATGCCTGAGGACCCCATTTGTGTAATGCTTCATTACACAAAACACTTGTGAGTTGTTTCAGGTGGGTGCTGTGGAATAGTGAGGGGCATGCCATCATTTCTGAGACACTGATTCAGCCCTCAGCAGGAATGAACTTCTTCACCACAACATGAAAGAAAATGAAAGTACTCTGCATTTCACATGAGATTATAGTAACTCACTACCTTTGAGCTACAAGAAATCACCTCTGACAAGTGTTTTGAGCTGGGAAACAGGGTAAGGAAAGGCAAGGAGCATTAGACCCTGTCTACAGATGGGGAAACAGGCAAGAACTGTGCTACTATCTTGAGGGCACCTAGAGCTCAGAAGACTCCCCTTCCATCCCAGGAGCTGGAAATGGTGTGCTTTGCTTCCAAGAATAAGATCAGGCTACATGAAGTTACTTCAAATTGTACACAATCACTTTCTTCTGTTCATGAATTCAAACATGATAGGAAATACAGACAAGTTTGCAGATTTAATGCAAAACCAAAAGGAATATACATACATTTATTAAAACTGATGCCCACTATACATTTTTGCCATTTTGTATTGTTCTTTAAAGGAAACCTCAGTTACATTTATCTATCTGGATCCAGCTTCTGGATTAAAGTTAAGACTTCTTGTTTCATTGAAACCCAGAAGAACAAATTGAATTTAAAATCTGGAAGCCCAAAGATTATGAGACTGACTCCCCACTGTACATGCAGCTAAGTTTCTCTCTAAATAAAAATGCATGACAGACAGAAAAGACTCCCCAAGATGCATGAAATGAAAAAAGGAAGAAAAGCCAAGGAAAAAGGAAAAAATCAAATACACAACTGAAGTAAATGGAAAAAACCCAACTTTTTTTTTCTGACATGAACCAGTCATCCAAAAGCTATTGTCAAGAACAGCTGAGGGCAAGTTCTGCCCACGTTTAGCCAGATTGATTTATTTGTTCTCATTTTCTTTCTTATTTTCTCTCAAACTTGGGACTGGAAACCTTGGGAAGCAGAGTTTCAAATGAAAGTAAAACCACCTTATGCCTGCTGGGAAGCAGCATTTTAAATTAGTCACAGGAGATCAAAGCATTTACAAAATGAGTCATGGTATTTTAAGTGTGCATCTACAGCTGGGAAGTAAATAATATTAGCAGCAATTTTGCCACACCTTTTTTTTCTTCCCTTCCTGGCAGCTTCAGACAAATGAGGAAAAAAATGAAAGCAAGAGAAAATTTAAGAAATACTGACATTTCAACTAGAATAACACCTGTTTCAAGAAGGACCAGTTGTGCAGAGTAATACACCTTTCAATATAAAAGAAAAAGAAAAAATTATAAAATCCACATTCATAAAAATGATTTGCCATAAAGCAAATAATTTAGGAAAGGGAGAAAGCAATACTATGGAAAGTATAAGGTTTCATCAACACTTATAAAAAAGCCAGAAAGAAGGAATTAGGAGCTCAGAATACATTGATACTCTCTCATATATAAAACCTCTAAAATAGCTATATATATATATATATATATATATGAAAAAAGCATACATTTTGCAAATTTTTACCCATAACTGGAAAAATAATCAAGATTCACAGCTTCCATCAGCAGAGGCAGGTCTTCATGACAAAGAGGCAGCAGTTTGTGCTAGACCAAGTTAGGTACTTACAGGGGTTTTCATTGTGTCTTTCCAGCACTCAGACTTGCACTCTGTCTAAAAATACCTTCCCTATCAATCCTCAAGCTCTTTGCTATTCTCTTCCTTCCAGTTCATGCAGTCACAGAAAGAGGCACAGTACATTTGGAAGAAAAGGAGCAAGGGGAGAGAGCACATAGCCCTAAATCTCTTGTCTACAAAGGAACCAGAAGAATGAATGGAACCATAACCAGAATGGCAGAGCTTTAAAAGCAGGCTCTGGGCTAAATTACTGACCGTCCCTGAGGCTGCAGACCTCCCTATGCCTCACTTACCCTCTCTGAACTAAAAAAATTCCTTCAAAAATGCCTTAAAAAAAAAAAAACAAAAGCAGGACTGGCAGGATTAGGAAATGAGAGACTGAATATAAAAAAATTTGAAAAGATAAATATACATTGTCCTGCTACTGGAAATACATTCACAACCAATGAAAACTTTTGCCAGAGATGTTTAGCATCAGACATATTTTAAAAGTTGCAAAATCCAATTCAAGAGATTACAGTATCCAATCGTACTTCACAGATAAGTTTTGTTCCTTCCACGGAAATAAGTATTAATTCACATGGCAAGTGCATCAAGTCCGTAAGGGGATATAGGACCTTCAAATCGAGTAACATAGTAAGAAACCTAAATTCTAAAGATGCACAGCCCATCTCAATGACTGGACAAATGCTGCTCATTGTTATCAAGACTGAAATCACAGTGGTCACATTCAAGACCATTCTCAACTCTGCCCTTTAATAATTCCTTACACCGTCCTTAAAAGTTTAGCTCCCCAGATGTATGGAAACAGCATTCCCATCAGAACCAGTTTCATTTGGCACAGTTTTCCCTGACAAGCACAGCTTCATTAGCTTAAGCTCATGGCTATGCAAGTAGGGCTACCCGGCTTTCAGACCAGAGGCCAATCTGGAGAGCAGGAAGGCAAAGGGCTGCTCACACCCTCTGGGTTCTGATCACAAGCATGAGGGCCTGGACCAACACCAGCCCTGCACGGGATCTACCTGCACCCCAGAGAAAGGAAATGCACACACCAACAATGTGGGTGCTGGGCTCTCTGGGGAGCCCCTGGAGCCAAGGCTGGCCAGCAGCTGCACCCAGCAGTTGTGCAGAACAGAAGGGCTGCCACATTTTCTCCCTACTGGTTTAAATTAAAGAGAAGGCCTCAAACACCAAAGTACAACTCTAGCTCCAAAAGCCCTCCTGAAGCCGCCATGTACGTTTTGTGCCAACTTGCCTCACTTCTGGAAGTGACATTGGAACGGTACCATAAATTCTGCAAAAACGTAATGTTTCCGTGAGAGCACCTGCTGTTGAGACATGAAAAGCAAAGCCAAAAAATGCTCCACAAACTGCCCTATTCCCTCTTCCTTCCAGGCTAGGCTCCTCTCTCACACTCCAAAGCATCTCAAGGCGCGCCGCACAGAGCACCAAGCTGACAATACAGGGGACGGCCACTTGGGCACAGTTTTCCAGCGGCCCCTGACTCGGAGTACACAACGCGTCTGGGCGCTCGGCCGCACTTGGAAGCAATAGCTCCACCGGAGACGGCAACTTCCAGGGAAAACCGGAGGCGAGTTGTCCGCAGGGATTCCAGCCTCCACCGGAGCTCTCGCAGCGGACGGACTCTGGCCCAGCCAGCTCTCCCTCGGAGCAGCAGCTTTCCCGCAGCGGCGCCACGGCTATTTCCAAGGAAGGCCCCTGGGGCCGGCACCACTGGGCGCTACCTTCTACCCTCGCCACCGGGCCCGGCCCTGCCTCCGCCGCCGGTGCCCGCCACGGCCGCCCCGCCGGCCGCCCCGCGCTTCCGCTCCGGCCTCGCCGGGCAGCGCAGGCCTCGGCGCGGCCGCCCCCGCCTTACCTGAGGGTCTGCGGGCGAGCCTGATGATCTCCTCGGAGTAGCCGCCGCTCGCCACGCTGCCGTTCATGCTGCGGCCTGAAGGAGAACTCGGCTCCCGGGGCAGCCGCTCTCCCCTCCTCCCAGCGGAGCGCTGGGAGTTGTAGTCCCCGCGGGACGGGGCTGCTCCCGCCGCCGCCCGGGGCAGCCGCCGGCGCTCACCGCAGGGGCGGAAGAGCCGCGGGCCCGGGGGGCAGCGCAGCGCCTCCTGCCCCGCACCTTCCCTGGCCCCTGCGCCGCAGCTGAGCCTGGCCCTGCCTTGCTCCCCAGGCTGGAGCTGGTTTCTTTAGGAAGGTTAAGAACAGGCCGTAGTTGTCTGGGGTAGGCGTAGGAGAGAAGGGAGATACGTGACCTGTTCCCAGCCCTTTAAACTGTCCTCACAGTAAACTGAAAAATAGATCCGACCGTGCTGGGCAGGAACAAAAGCCCAATACATAGCTGGGCAAGTAGGACAGAGAGCAATAAGTGATCTATATTCAGAAATACAAACAGTGCACAGAAGCACCTTGCTGCTGCTGGGGCAAGAAATACTTAACTAGATCCTGTAGAAGGTGTTTGGTTTGAGGTTTTGAGAAATTTCCTCAGAATAGATAACTACCTAGCAATAAAGGGCAAAGTAGTTCAACTTCCTGTATAACAGAGGAGCCACTTGAACCTGGGACTCTACCTCAGTGTTTATTGAACCAATAGATTGTCTGGAAATAGCAAGGAAAAATTAATCATTATCTATTTCAGCACATGGTACAAATGTGTCAATACAGACAATGACAACAGGGAACAATGTCACTTGAACCACCCGACTGCTTGGCACTATGAGGACAGCCACATCTACATGCTGCAGGAAACCTCTCTGATGAAAATGAGGACCAGCTCATCTGGTCTTCAATGTTACATTACCATTTTATTTGTTTGGTATTGCAGCAAACATAACAGATGTTTTTGACAGCATTCGTTCAGGGATTATCTGCACTTCTGGATTCCTGAATTTAATAGGGAGAGACAACCAAGGCACCGGATCTCTGACTGCTACAACATTTATGTTTAGTGCTAAACTGAGCGTTAGAACACCTGCCTCAGAGGTGGGAGACAGGCATTCAAGGTCCAATTACACTTGCAATGATGAGCAAAACCGTGATTCATGTGACAGACATTTTTGTTGTTGCTAGTAGCATTCACTCTAAGTTGAGAACTTTTCAGTGTCTCATACTCTGCCAGTGAGGAGGTGTGCAAAATTTGGGAGGGAGCATGGCCAGGACAGGTGGACAAAAGGATATTTCATACCACAGAATGTCCAGTATATAAGCTGAGGAACTTATTTGTAAGGGGGGCTAACACATTCTGGGACAGGCTGGGTATCAGACAGCATCGGATGAGCAACTGTACTGTGCATCACTTGTTTCTCTTGGGTTCTGTTACTCTCAACTCTCGATATTATTATTGTTATTATTGTTGTTGTTGTTGTTGTATTTTCGTTGTTTCAATTATTAAACTGTTTTTATCTCAACCCACAAGGTTTACCTTTTCTTTCTGAATCTCCTTCCCACTGGGAGGGGTGGGAGGAGAATGAGCAAGCAGCTGCTAGGTACTTGGCAAACTCCTTCAAGATACACAGTGTTCCTTAGCAGCAATTTAATGTATTTTAGAGATGACAGCCTTGGCTTAGAACAAAACCAATTTTATCTTGATCTGAGATAATGCAATGTTAATGTTCTTAAAAGTTTTCTTTACCCAGGAAGATATTTCAATAAGAAACATGGTTATATTGTAACTCAATCCTAGGCAGCTCCAGGCGTCACCTATCACGACTGCCACATATTAACAGCTACCTGAGCCTTAATACCCTTACTGCACTGGCACAGACAATTTCACAGAATCAGAGAATGGTTTGGTTTGGAAGAGACATTTAAGATCATCTAGTTCCAACCCCTCCTGCAATGGGGCTCCACTAGTCCAGCTTGTGTCTTATTTCCTCCAGCACCATTTCATGTACTACAGTGACTCACATCTCTTGGGAGATGGTGCAGCAACATTTGCAAATTGACTCTTCATGTATAAGTGACTTACATATTAACCAAGTTCCCTCATCCATTTAAAGCATTTTAAAATGCAGTTAGAACCAGAAGGGGGAAGAAAGGGAAACCAAAACCATTAGGACTGAACTCTGACCTGCACCTTCATAGCACCTTCAGATTAGTGGGACATTTCTAAAAACCACCAGAAACATCAAGTTTTTCATTGCTGTGTTGAAATCAGAAACAACAATATTTTCAAGGAGAAATCTCAGAAAGGAAGTTGTCACATTTTATGAAACATAGACTAGGTTTGTTGAGATACATGTCTGTCCTGCTCATATGGCCCAAGAAGAAATGGGAGAAAAGTATACAGAAATACTCCTATCCAAAGTTCACGGAAAGCCTCCTCCCAGTTAAGTCATGGTTTTGCAGAACAGTCTTTAAGCATAGAGAAAAACAGAAACTACAGCATTTTATTAATTTATCTTTCCCAAAACTGCATTTGCAAGTAAGCTTTCTGGGCTAAATTGTGCTTTCATTTACACCTCTGTCTTTAGTATGCAGGTCTGTGAACAAGAACTCCCTGACTGGTGTTTCTCTGTCTCAGCATAGATCTATACTTGGCAATTTATAGTCTACTATTGATCAACAATGGTAGGCCATCAAGGAGGCAACCTGAAACTTCTACCACTCTTTTTGTATTTAAAAAGCAAAATAAAAAAAGTCCTAGTAGGTACTAGATGTGCAGAGATAGTTGGAAGGTGCTGGGTGTAGTGCTTTTGTTACTTTTTTCCCCATCTTTCAATTGATTCTCATTGCTCAAGTCTGTCTCTTATCCCTTGTTTGAAACAAGTGAAGTACAATTGTTATTTCTCAGAGGACAGCCCTCCCACTTCCCCAACCCCCAAAGGAGGTCTCTGGTTATGAGGAATAGATGTGGTGTTAGTCAAGGGCATTTATCTCACCTTTTGACATAAATACAGGATTAAGTTTTCATCATCTAATCAAAACCATTCATTTTCTATCATGACAATAAGCACAGCCTAAACAAACAGTGTGTTACCTCATTTCTGCAGACAGCATAGATAAATATTTAAGGACCCATTTGCTCTACACAAAAAGCTGTGAAAAACTGTGAATCACATGCTTCATATTTCACATCCTGTCATAATGTAATTGGCCCTTTTTGGATACAGGACACCAAAAAAATACACATAAAAAATACAGGAAAATGCATATTCTGAAAACATACAATATATATTTGGGAGGCAGCAAGAGTTGACCATAATAATTTGTAGAGTCGCCAGCATCTTTCTTCCCAAACTTTCCCAAGTGTTGGGATACTTATCCTGCCTTTACAGAATGTTTGCTAAAAGTGTGCTCTTTATTTTCTAAATACAAATAATCCTTTTGTTAGCAGACAAGTGCATTACAGCCCTTTATCCTGAAACATCTTTTAAAAAAAGGTTTAACTGTGATCTAGACTACAGACTCCTCTTCATGTTGATCTTATAGAACGGTGTTGTTACTGGTGTAATAGAAATAATAACAATAAAACTTACTGAATGGTATTTTCATGTCTTAATATTTTTCAGAAGTTAGACATATTTTATGTTGTGTTAAAAAAATTAAAATGACAATGCTTCTGTGTGGCACTCTGTAGAGCTGCAAGGACACATTCAGTTATAGTTATTCAGAAAGTAAGCCAAAAGAAACCACCTGAGATAGTCAGATAAAATATCTATCAAATATTGCAGGTATTGAGGGTAGGGGACACTTGCAGAATAATTCCATGTATTTTAGAAATTCAGTTAACTTGGGGAGCCCCATAGACAGCTCTTCTTAGAGACAATAAAATACACAGCACTTCTCAGAAGCAGCCAGCATTCAAGACACTGGAAAATCTCCATGAAATAAAAACAATTTGTTCTTGTGAAATGCCAGATTTGGTGTCACTACACTGTTGACATATATTTTATAGTTCAGAAATGCAATGCTTACTGTTTGTAATCCTTCTGTACTCTTTTACAAAAGGAAGACCCTGTTTCCCATGGTCTACCTCCCTCCTGAAGAGCTTCTCCCTGTAAACAGCTGGAAGCACTTGTGAGAGACACCTGTATCTCACTGCAATACCTGTTCCTTACCTTTTGTGTGTCACAGATGTGAATTAAATCACAGAGACACTGAATAGTTTTCCTGGAAGGACCCAGTTGAGACTCCAAGTGCAATTTTTTTACCTCTGGTTGTTAATGAATGACAAAAGATGTTCACAAACATCTCTCTCACTGAATTGATGAAAATATTAGGTGAAGGAAGAAATTGAAGCAAGTAATTTATCTACACCTGTTTTAAGAAGTTTGCATTTTTAAACTGTTGATATGAAACAAACACAATACTAGCAGTTTACTTGAGTACATCAGTTTAAGAACTCAGGGTACAAAGAACAGTATGCCTTACTACCTGCATTTATTAACTTAAAAGAAAATATACAGAGATAAGGTTTACTCTGCATTTAATGATAACACATGAGATTAGAGCTGTTCAGAACCTGTTGAATTATTTTGATGAGTTATCAGATGGCTCTGCTAAAGGGAGATTTCCTCAAGAGAATCCAAAGATACTGCTTTTTAAACTTTGGTGGATTTTGACTCACCAGCAGGCAAGTTTTCTTTAGGAACTTTTGTTTTTTTCAATCTTTGAAAAAACTGTGATATTCTATGGAATTGGGGTTTTTTCTTCGTAAGCCATCCCTCTATTTCCTGTCTATAATGGATGGAAAGGGCTACTCCAACAATACACATAGAAAAAAAAACAAATAGTGCTATTCTTACTCTTGCTCTCTGAGCCCTCCTAATTGGAGGGGGTCCACTGTCAATGCTACCTCCAAATCCTTCCAATTCACAATATGGTGGAGCCCAGCCATACTTACAGTGACAGTTCTTACGATTGTTACACACCCCTCTGTCATGACACTTTGTCATGTTGCAGTCGTAGTTCAGCACTAATACACTCATACACGTCCTGTTGATACAAAGCATATCACTACCACATGGTGTGCCATCTTCCACAGCTCCCACATCTGCTCTTGGCACCCCTAGGTGATAGTCGAGACCCCAACAATTTTTATCTCGAACCGGAGTTTGGACTACTGTTACATGGTTCTGCAAGAAAGGTATTTTGACTATGTTTTCACACTGAATCCTACCACATAAGACATTCTTAGTACTGCATTTTGTAAAATGGATATTGTCAGGAATACCACAATTCCCAAACCGGTCACCTTGAGTATTCACTGCTTTGAAGCAATCGAAAGGGGCAACCTTGGCTTGTTTGCCAAAGAGATGCTGGCACTTTTCACTGTGGGAAGAACATTTTCCTTTATAACAATAAATACCATCATTGCAAGGAGCTCCATCTTGTACATATACATCCAGGGGGCACTGAGGGGAAATCCCATTGCAATACTCTGGCAGGTCACAGCTGCCAGTACTTGCTCTGCAGAGTGTTCCTGCTGGAAGGACCTTACAGTTCTTGCAGCATTTTCCAGATGCACACTCTGAACCTGCAGTAAATGTACAGTTTGAGCGACAACAAGGATCCCTTTGGCAGCTTGCTGCTGAACCACAGTCACATTGCTCTCCACTGTCTACTATCTTATTCCCACAGTATTCACGTTTATCGGTGTAGAAAGTGCCAGGTGCTGGTGGCTGACGAAGGCATGTAGCGCCACTTACAACCAGATTAAAGTACTCTTTGTAACTGCAGTCACTGAACGAATCCGTTTCAGCATTGTTTTCATACATAATGCATGTCTTGCGTTTGCAATTGCATTCTGGTTTATCATGGGTCATCCCAAGATTATGGCCCAGCTCATGGACAAATGTGATAACAAGCGAAGACAACTGTTTCTCAGTGTCGGAAATAACAGCTGCTGACCAGTGCATATCACACACTGTCCCTATATATGCCAATCCCAGGCTGCTTCCAAACCACTGAAATGCAAATAAGTGAGCAACATCGTGGTACATCCGAGGTAACAGGTTTGACTTTCTCCAGGCGTTAAAGGCACTAAGTACCTGAGGAATAGAGTTAGTAACATTTATAAAGTTATTTTCAGTCCAGATCTCCAATCCTATTAGAAACAGCCGCACAGAAAGCTGTTTGTACAAAATGTCCCCGGAATTGATGACTTGCATGATATGCTTCAAGACTTGGGATTTGCTCCTGCCTGACTTCACAAACAGCACGCGGTCCACGACCACTACTATCTTCACATACCTGATGTGCGTCCACCAGTCCTTCAGCTTTTCGTTCTCCTCCTCTGCCTTGGGAGCCTTGAACCATGGCAGCACAGCCTTTTGTTGCTGCAGTACCTCCGGCGTCAGTCCGCAGCTGGTTCCCTCGGGGCCGTTGGCCTCCTCCATGCGGGAGAGAATGTGCCGAAAGGCCGGATCGTTGGGGACGGGCTCGATCTGGTAGGTGTCATCCTCCACCCAGAGCACGCCGTGGAGGCCCCTGCCGCAGGTGCTGAGGGCCACCAGGGAGCCGGGGCTTCCCAGCACGTCGCCCTGGTAGAAGCAGTTGTCCCGCACGAAGGGGCGCTCCTCCCGGCGGGTCCCGTCCGGGCCGTAGGTGACCAGGGTGAAGGGCCGGGAGACCAGGCCCCTCCTGGGCTGCAGGCGCAGCACCCGCGGCCGCCCCGCCACGTTCAGCCAGTAGGAAAGGGCCGGGGCGTCCTCGCCGCCGCGGGGGCTCAGCTGCCGCGGCACCGTCACCCAGGCGGCGCGCGGCTCCGCGGGCCGGGCCCCCCGGGCCCCGGGGCCCCCCGCCACGCCCGGCGGCAGCAGCAGCAGCAGCAGGAGCCCCGGCAGCGGCCCCATCGCTGCCGCCGGCACCGGCCGCCCCCGCCCGAGCGGGCACAGAACCTGGAAGGGCCCGGCCCGGGCGGAACCGCCCCGAGGCTCCAACTGCCGCCGTGCCGGGCCCGCTCCCCGGGAAACGGCACCTGCGGCATCGCCGAGCGCCGAGCTCTTAATAAGCGTCATTTCGAATTGATGGGTACTTCTCCTTCTGAGCAGACACAGTGAGGACAGCCCCCAGTTCAGCTTCACGCTCCTTGTCACAGATGTTTGTGCTGAGCGAAGGGTTCATTTGGGTAGACCACAGTGGGAAAATATGTTTTAAAATCTCAAAAGGTTGACTTTTGCTTTTTTTGCTGTTTTTATTACAGGATAATTTGTGAGTGGACATCAGAAACAGGCTAAGGCTTAGAGTCTGAAATGAATAAGTTCAGAAATACTCCCTGTGGTGACCTTAGCATGTCCCTTACTATAGCTAATACAGCATAGACACCCTCCAAGAAAAAAGGTAGAACCAGGGGAGAATTCCCTTCCACTACGTTCTATAATATAGGTGTAAACTAATAGTACCAAGTATAAAGTCCTCAATCCTATCTACACCACAGCTGCTACATACCTACAACAATGCACCTTAATTACAGACAGAACTTATGCAGCAGCCATTTTCCCACATCATGTCCCCTCTAAAGACTTGTGATTTCATAGCAATGGAAAGAGAACATTTACAGATACATCTACCACTTGGCTACCATCCCCATTTTGGGTAGTGTTGGCAAGACACAACTGTAAGACAGTGATCTGGGTTGTGGTAAGATAGGATGTCCTGTGCAACACAGATGCACGCTGGTTTTCTAGCACATAGTGCTGGAATTCAACATAGCCACAGCTGTTACATTTTCGGAACTCTTCGCAACTTTCTTTTCACACCACAAGCACATTTGGGATGAAGTCCAACCTGTTATGGCCCTCATCTTTCTCAGCTGCAGGAGGTATATCCTTCTACCATCCCATATGGATCTCAGGAATCCTGCCTTTTATCACCAACTTCCGTGTGCCGACCATCACCCTGGCACAGGCAGCAACACCTACCATTTCAAACTACTGGAGATAGGCACTGCCCCTCAGGAGGCTGGGCAAGAAAGAAAGAAGCAGCTGGCAGAAAGCTCAGAGCCTCCTTCTGCTGCCTTATGCCCCAGGGTCCTGAGCGGGCTGCTACCTTATGCTGGGCACATGGCAGGCCTAACTAACAGCTTGTGGAGGTTACCAACTACTGTCCAAAGATGCTTCAGATTCTGTGGTTTGGTAGCTTGCTCATTTCTAGCAAGCATGGCCAGCATTAGCATCATACACCTTGTAATACACTACCTCAGATTAAAGGAATGAATACAGATGCCTGCTTCTATTAGGATACATCTAGGAAGATCTTTATAGATATCCATCCAAACTCATAATCTATCTCTTTTAGCCTTAGATTTATTTTCCTATTGGTTTTAAAATTATAGAAACTGTTTCTGGTGAAGTCTTTTATATGCAGCTAGATGTTGAATGCTTGTCCACTATTTTTCAATTATCAGTTTTGCATTTCAGTACTGAGAACTACACCAGATTATGTCTTTTGAAATAAATATAACCCAGACCACAGTAATGGAAAAATCCTGTTACATAATCCATGTGCAGTCTGTAGTGCTATTTTAAAATGCATACTTCTGATGTGTGATCACTCCTTAAGTTATACAAAAGGCCCTACTAAATCATTCTGACAATTGGCAAGAGCCATGTCTTACCACCCTTCCATCCCTCGGCATGAAGTTGCCTGCTACTTACTTTCTCTTTTAATATAAATATAGCTACACAGTTAAGACTAGAAAATACTTAGGTCTCAAAGTACTAGTATAAAGCTAATCTATCCCCTTTGCCTTGTCCCTCCTATTGCCCATAGACTTCTTGCTCCAAGAACAGCTTGGTGTGGCAAACAACATGTACTGACTGACCAGATGGCATCTAACTTTCTTTGCTAGGAAAAGGCTGCCAAAACATGAAGTATGGCAGCAGAGTGGCAAAGAGAAATGTGTGAGACCGACATATAGCCTGGTCAGACCTTACTTAATGAAAAGATGACAAATACAGTATTTCTGCTGCACCTGACACACCATTAGCTTTACACAGTTAACTGAGGTAGCTAGAGTGCCCCTCTCCCACAATCTGGCTGGATTTTTGCATGCATGTGTACACATACACACACATACAAACAAATAGGCATAGGTGGGTATGCAAACATTTATATGTACTTTCAGGCTCTGTGGAGAATTGTTTCTGTTCGAGTTCCTGCTACTCCATGGTTTAGGCAAAGAAAAGCCCTTTTGAAGTCTGAATGGTTATTATCTAAGAGCAAAAAGTAGAGATAGTTCTCTTGTTCAACCAAATATCTCATTTATACAGAAGAAAGTGACGCATAAACAAATTTCAGAATTGTTTGCTTCTTTCCATTTCATCTACAAGCTTTAGAAATACTGAATGTCCTCTGGAAGGACTCTGGACTTCGCAGACTCTACACTGAGAGAAAAGGCTTAGATTCTCATGCACTGAAGAACATTACTGACTACAAGATATCTGCTTAACATTTCAACAGTAATATCTGACATAATGTTACTTCAGTAAATTAATATCTCAGCTCACTTACCTGATGAAATGATTGTAGAATATCTGGTCAGCGAGTAACAGGACCAGATCTCTCAATCCCTCATACGGCAAACCTTCAGCACTGGACAGCTACTAGGAAATCAACACACTGGTAACATCCCTTACTGCTTTAAAATGTAATTTGCTCAGGGAAAGACCATTCCCCTGGAAAAGGTTTATCACATTCAAATGTTTATTTCATGAATGGAAGCCATTTGCTATCCTCTCAATAGCTTAGATGCTGGCGCTTTAACTCAGATGGGGTCACACAACGAATCCATCCCTTTTAACGCCCTTTGACACCAGCCAACACTAGGCATTTCTGCAGAAGACTGAAAGGCTGCTGAGAAATAAATGTGAGGACAGTCTGCCCCTTCATGTTCCACCCTTATCTCTGATCAGCTCAAATTCTGAGCATGGAGTGTAATGGTTGAGTCCAAATGTAAATCCAATTCAGTTTCATTTACCTGTCTCTCTGTTCAAGACAGAAAAAAGTCCTCTACCTTGCTATTTGTTTCACTACTCAGTTTTATAAAGGCTTTGTATTTGTTTTCCCAGTGCCATCATAGGAGAAACTGTCCTACTCATTTTACTGCCCTTCTTCAAACCCTTCTACTTTAGGGAAATTCCTTTTCAGTCATTGAATTGCACAACACACTTTATTTCAGGTGAAGTCTAGTGACTGATAGAGTATTTTGCTCATACTATATTATAGCATGCATTTTTTGCCACAGTTGTATGCACCTTCAGCAATAAGTAAGCTTTCTTCTGCTAATAGTGTTAAATATTTCCTTGGTGCATGAACAGATAATCTTTCTCCATTTAAAAATCCAAACCGAACCAAAAAAAAAAGAAAAACCCACACACAACTGAAGCCCAATACTCTAGATCTTCATTAAGTGCAGTGTGACATCTGTCTTGGTAACTTTTTCCAAATTACATACAGGTTTCCAGCTCACTTAATGGCCATTTCCAAGGACTTTATTCTGGCCATCCAACAACAAGATCTGCTGAGGTGCCTCACCATTCATGTCTCATTTCTGGAAATCCTGGCTTTCCTTCATGGTGGTGGATGAGGGAATGGCTTTTGTGCTTCTTCCACTACTTGCTTTCAGAGGAATTTCTGTAATACAAGAAAGAACCAACATCCTTTTTTTCTAAGTATATTCACACGACCTTGTCTGGTTCTGAGCGTCCCAGAATAACTGCTTTCTATATTTTCACTTGATGTAATAGTTCACACTATTTTATCTACTTTTATCAACATTTTGAGAAATGACTGTTCAAACTTGATCCAGGTTTGAAATAAACCTAATACACACTCAAGTATATGAATATATGAATTTCAGATCTGTATCTGCATTAACTGAGAACAGCTATTGGTATATCTACATCTTTTAACATTGCAACTTTGGATTATATGATAAAATGGCATGGATCTTTTTATCAGTCAATAATAAATAGCCCTGACAAGTCTTTCTATCATTCAGGAATAAACAGCTCTGACTGGAGAGCTAAGTTACTGAAAAAGAGTGTCTTATAACCTAAAGATAAATTTGACCAGCTATCTGTGACAAAAAAAGGTTTATGTAAACATGCTTAAATAAGTGTATAGGTGTCAGTGATGTTTCTCTTCCACTGTCCCACAGTGGAAGAGAAACATCAAAAGGCACATGTCTAATGAAGGATTAAGAAAGTGCCAGGAGCACAGAGGAAGAGATGCGATTGATATATTTGAGTTACAGTGGAAAATTAGAAATATAAACAGCTTCACTGAGTGTGCAACATCAAGAAATCTTAGCCTGTTTTACATCATAAATCTCTGTCCCAAAACACTAACTTCTATAATAAACTATCAGCTCAACCATTAAGTAAAACCCATGTCCAAAAATATCTAGAAACTGAGACCATTCTGACACCTAATTACATGGATTTGAGGGTCCAGTTATCAAATCTCTTATCTTTATCCCAAGCACACTAGAGGCATAGCAATTTGTAGGGGGTAACCTAACTTTTCCTCCTCAAGAGAAAAGACAATATATTCCAAAGTCCAAGCAAAAAGAAAAAAAAAAAAATGCTGCCAGCACATATGACATATTTCCTACTAACAAAGTATACATTTAAGAAAGGCATTCCAGCAGCCAGGAGTTTTATTTGCCAAGAATTCCAATTCCTTTTTATATATAAAAGTGTTTTTTTCTTGTAACATAGGAAACCAAGACACAAAGAATGCAGGAGTTTGTAAAGATTTCAGGAGGCTGCTGAACATGTCCATGTAAAAACCATTCTCAGAAGTCAGCATTCAAAATAAGATGAAGACTGAAAACACCTCCTTTGAGGCAGTTCAAATCCTGACATTAACATTTGCATGAGAGGTTTCTAAAAAAAAGCTGTTACAGGGATCTCAGTCCTTAAATTGTCAGTCTCAGTGGAAGAGCTTAAATATAAAGAAAAGGGAGCAAGAATCTTCTGTTTTCCAGGTACTGACTAATTCAGATGTGCAATAGCTTCTCCCTTCACTGGAGTCTCATTCGTTTTTCAGGTGGTCCTTTAGCACCAGCACTCTGGGCATTCTTTACAGTCTCTTTTTCCTCTGTCTTCACAGCTTCAGGGACTGGTTCTGGTTCCTTCTTGATTTGATCCACTAAAGATGTAAAAGCAAAAGAAAGTTAAACCTCCGATTCTCATTCCATTCTTCAGAGTATTTAGAAAATATTAATGTCTTATGGGCAACATTAATTTCAAAGGTGTAAGAATAATAAGCAGAGAATAAATTAATACTTTTATTCAGGTAAAAGGTGGAAGAGAATGAAGTGATACAGTTCAAGCCTTTCCTGTTTGAAGATTGCCTACGATCAACTCAAATTTTCATTCTTATCCATTACTTTGCACAATTAGGTAATGCCAGAATTCCAAACCACCTCACAGTAGCAGCAGCAAGAGCTTACATGGCAACTGCAAGATACTGCATACAGAGTCTATTTTTTAAATCTCTTTAAAATATTACAGTTTTACCTGGGATAGGCTTTTCTCCAGGCTTTTGCTGTGAGAGAAGAAAGAAAACCAACATATCAGTGGAACCAAAGTTGTAATTCTCAACCCTTCCTGCTATTAATTGACAAATTAAATGCAAACAATGCACTCTTATATGTAAGAGGTGAGGGTAGAATGGGTCACTAAATACACTTTAAACAAAATCCAGTTTTTCCTCTAACAACTGAAAAATACTAAAGACAAAAATATGCAGTTAGCCAGTCTTTCCCAGGACTGGCTGAGAAGCACTTTTGTGAGATGCTGTAAACATAATTTCCTTTGCTCCCAAGCAGAAGCATTTGCTCCTGGTGGAACAAATGGCTACCAAAGACAATCAGAGGTAAACACAAGTTCACAGAATGCCAAGAATTTCCATGCTAACTAATGAGTCTCTAGAACAATGGAGTACCTAAAACAAAATACTGTGATGGCTTGATTGAGTTCACAAAAGAGGAAACTGGTAGCAGCAGCAACATCTGACAGCTAAGAACAGACCCTCTGTGATCAGTTAAGGAAGATGTATAATAAAATTCACTCTCATAGTTTTGCCAAGGTCTTAATGACTCCAGTGACTACAAATGGAGATGCTACACTCTAATATGAGCCTTCCACGTTAAGTTTGTGAACTAATCCATGTTACTATTGCAGAAATACACTAAATCCCATTCAGTTTCACCTGTTTAAATACCTATGACTGTCTTTTAAGTTCTAAGTTACAGTAAAACTGTGGCTTTTGAGTGTCATACCTGAACAAATCTGGGTGGAAACTTTTGCCTTAGGTCTAAAAGCAAAGCATCTACTCGTTGTCTTTGGAAAATAGAGCTTGGCTCTTCTTTCTTCTTGGCTTTTGGTTTAGTTTTCTCTGAAAGTCACAGAAATATTAGAGAAAGATGTATTAAAAATTATTTTCTCTTAGCAGCTCTTTGTTGTATGTCCTCCTGACAAACTGGTTTGGCTTTTGAAAATGTGTTTGGGTCCCCTGTGGGTTGAAGAGCTGCCCACTTTGTTGACACACAGTTCAATATTTTCATCTCCCACCCATGCCACAATGCTCATTCCCACCAGCACAGAAGGGCAAGATTTCTTTAACCTGGTAGAGAGTCCTAACTTGCCCTTCAGACACTTCATCTCACCTCTCCACCATCACTGTGCATTACCTCAAGCTTTTCCCTATATTCATTTCCTCTCCCAGAGTATGCAGTAGAAACTAGCAATCATACCTCGTTCTTCTTCATCTTTGAAATGCCACCAGTAGCCTTTGGATGGGTGATAGCGACAGTAGGACATAGCTTCTTCAAAAGCAGACTGAATTCCATGCACTGCAGTAAGCTTTCAGAACAAAAATGCAAGGCAGTGCTCAGAACTCAAGAAGAAAATACAACATAAATTTTTGGAAGTAGGTATTTTAAAATTAGTATTCTATATTCATTTTTTTGTTCTGTAAAGGGAAATTGGAATATCCCATTTTGGACTGAGAATGTAATTTCTTTAATAGGTTCTCACAAGGCCCTTTTGAAGTGCTTTTCTAAACTGACAAGAGAAAAACTTGGAAAAAATCAATAGCTCACAAGAACAGAAGAAATCAAAACAAATTTGAGCATCCAATTTATGAAGAAATACCACATCAGTTAAAACCATAAGCCTCATTTAAAAATAAGTATTACATTAGCTTAACATTAACTTTCCAAAGCAAGCTTCACTGATTATGTATTTAATTACTATTTCATATGTATGTCAAATAATTTTAAAATTTTGATTATTCAAACTTCATGCTGTTCTGCCAATTGTGTAGTTTCATTATTATGATCCTTCATCCTTAAACAATGCATCCTAGTTTCTGGGCAATACTGAACTCTCACAAGATCTTGCATGTGGGATGCACACAATATTAACCAGTGGGGTTTGTTTTAAGTTACTGCACCATTACTACACAAGATCTTTGCTCAGAATAGTGAAGGAGATATTTAAACAGCCTGGGGGACAACCAAGAGTAAAAACAGATATAAACCAGTACACATCAAATGCACAGAACACTTACAACTCTGGAGTTAATGACAGATCCTAAGTCAGGTGCTTGGTAAATCACTCCAGCAATAATATAGTAGTCAGCCAATGGTATAACTATGAGAAGGAAAAGAAGAAAAATGTGGAATCAATTTAAAGCTCTGGCTGAAGACTGTGTATTTGTTGCTGAATTTCAGTCATAGCAGCAGAAACTGCAATATTTCTCTTATCACAAAATTTTCTCTTGTTAACCTTTTCCTTTAAGTTGCTTTATTTGCACCTTAAGCACAGACTGTAATGAGAGAAAAAAACAATGTCTGCAGATATTTACAGATAGAAAAGCATGGGTTGTAAAGTCCTGTCCTACTGCAAGCAAATGATTTGCCTCATAGAACTGGGGCTACTAGAGCAACTACTAATCATGTGAGGTGCTCTGGAAGTAATTCCACTAGCCTTGGCTAGTGGTAGAAACCCCCAATAATGTAAGATCTCATTGTTCTGGACTCAGCTTTCCCTAACTTCTACAGTCCTCTCAGCTAGATTTCCCAGATCCAATGGAGTGAAGCACACACAAAGCATGCTTTTCTAAATTCGTAACATTCTGCCAAAAAAAGGCTACCTTCCATAGGCATTTGCTAAATCAGATTTTGAACCTCTACTGACCAATCAAAAATTCTTGTTCATTAGAGCTGCAGTGCAGAGGAACATTATAGTTGCTTCTATAATTCTGCCAAACATTGTTCAATTGAGAAACCATAGCAATGCTCCCAGCTTCACATTCCTAAGGACATTAACTTTGCACACATGTGTTCCAATTCCTCCATCTCCACTAACAATTCCTCCAGTACTTGCATTTTATGAAGCCTGGACACCTGCCTAAATTAGCAGTCCCAGACAGTTGGGTGCCTATTACAGTACTCACTTCTGAAAAGAAAACGGATGCTTAGCACTTCTTTACAAATGGAGCAAGACACAGAACAGCAGTTTTACTGTTTCACAGCTCTGTACCAGGTCCTACTCTCCTAGACAGGAAACTCTCCCTAATCACTGATACAAAGATTTTTCTAATATCACTTTCAAACAGACAAAAGCTTGTCTTAACGAATTTAAAATATAAATACTGTTTTTTTAAAAACACACAAGTCATAAGACAGGCCTGTATCAGTTGTATTTGAGTATTCTACACTAGCTATGAAATCATTAAATTTCAGTTTTATATCCCCATTCCAATGTCTCAAATACACAAATTTTTGTACCCCAATGAAATAAAACACATGGTAACATCTCAGCTAGGGAACTATGCAACTCAATTATCATTCAATCAGCACAAACTTTACAGTCACAGTGGGAAAAATGTTACCGAACAAGTGTCAGTTAAGTTCCACCAAACATACATCTGCCTTACAGCATAAGTCTAAACACACATACTGCGGTAGCTCCAACTCCAGGCTCAATCTGAAAGGTGTCAAGACCAGAAATTAAGGGCTGTATGATAATTCTATACTCACTTTTAGAAGCTATGTTGAAAATCTCTAATAGAGAAATAACTCAAACCATGTACTAAAGAATCAATCATACATTTTTCTCAATTTGGAACTGCAATGTAAACAGACCATTACCTGACATAAGCAAATAAGAAACATTACAAGATAAGGCAAAGTCCTGTAAAGACCAAAATGTATATAAAGAACCTAAATCCCTAAGAAAGAGAAATTAAGAAATAATTAGCACTAACCTTGCCTTTCTTTCCTACTAATCTTACTCTGAAATAACCTATTATTTTATATGAGCAAGCAGTAAACAGATAAGACAATCCAATAACTACTGAAATGTGGCTACATATTTGATTAATCACACATACACAAATTCAAGGTTAAAAAGGAATAACAAAGCCAGTTGCATGCAGATGGGAAAAAAAAGCCAAGGTACTTGATTTAAAAACTGGAAAGTGACACTGTAGGAAGGAGTGGTGCTGTTACCACAAGACTCCATCACAAGGAGACATGGACACTTGCATAGCCTAACAGATAAATACAACATGGGATGAATGCTATTAGCAATTTCCTGTAGGAAAATGTAGCACAGGGCAGCACTCTCTCATTCACTGTTCCCATTTCCCCACAAGATGGCACTCCCTGCTGCTGGCACACTGCAGGGAACTGCCGCAGAAAGGATCTCCCCACTACAAAGCCTCATACCCTCCTAGTTAGACTGGAGATTAAGACAGAAGAGGGGAAGCAGAAGTGCGTAGACATAAATTAGGAACTGATAGAAACAACTGACTGGTTAGCTTCTCAATAGGGGCAAGAAGTGAGTGACTGTACCTTGTGTTGGAGATTGTCTTTGCTGCTTTCGGATAATGAAGAGGATGGGCTCTTGAGCATGGAGAAGGATGTACTCCACTCCAACCATCTGGCTGAGAAAGAAAAGACTAGAGTGAGTATCTTCCTCCAAGTAAAATCTGTAGGACATGAAGAGCAACCAAATGGCCTGGCAATATAGCAACTAAGTTCTGATGCTTTGAAATGTGCAGTAAATAAAGGCAAAGGATTTCCTGAGCTAGCTATCAAACCCTAGGTGCACAGACAAAGAGAGCTGTAACAACCTGACACAACACAAATAGAATATATTAGCAACAGATAAATAGCAAGAAAGATAACAATCTATCATAATGGAGATGTCATTTAAATACAGCAACAAAGAACTGGTGTATGATGTGACCATCTGTGTGTCTGATGTAAAGGCCTCTCTGCAACCATACTAAGCACAAGTGACTTTACCAAGCTACACAGGACTTCTTCTCTGTCATATTGTGGAGTCTTAAAATAGTTCTCTAACAACTTGCTTGTGCTCAGCATAGCAGATGGAGAACTGAAAGTTAACTTGCACATGCAATCTCAATACACAACCATATGTGATCAGTTTATTTACAACACTCACTACTCCTATTATCCATACTAAAAAGCCAGCTCTTTGGAGGAATTATGTACTAATTATGGCACACGGCCAGCAGTATATGGAAACACAAACTATTTATGAACTCGAAGTATCCCCTAACATAAACTCTATTCACCGCAGAAAAAAACATTAACTACATTAGACTACTCAGGTTGAGCAGGGAGGATGAGAGAAGTCAGCTTTTCTATTTCAGAGAAATATCTAAAGGGTGATTTACTGGCATCTCAAAAGATACACAGAATGCTTCAAGCTTAACAGCTCCTTCCACACATCCAAACAGAGAAAGAACTGGCCTCACTGGACAGTGGTGGGACTAAAAAGCACAGAACAGAACGAGCGTTACAGCATGCTTCCATTCTGTCACCAAAGCCACTGAATGGAGGGACAAGGGATACTGCACAGGAACCAGATGCAAATTACAACTTACTTCAAATGGTCCAGAGTCATCCGCTGCATTTTGACGACTTCATTGTTACATGTTCGGTCATAGAAAGGGTTACTTCGCTCTGAGAAATAGTCCAACACACTCCCATTGTTTAATATTGGAATCCAGGAGCTGTCAACCCATGAAATCCCCAAGAGATTATCTGGGAAAATAAAGCTACATTGAGTACCAAAGCAGTCAAAATCACTGCAAATACATCCAAGAGTAAATTTCCACCAGTTAACAATTACAGCAGAGGAAGGAGATGGAACACAAACACACCAGTTAACATGAAAGAAGTATTTCATAGAGTTCAGATAATAATTGATAACCTTTAACCTTCTGCAGGTCTCTTCCAGTAATCTTGAATAAGAGATTCCCGGTAATCTTGAACAAGAGATTCTATTCCTGACTATAAAATTAATCTGCCAAACTGCTGCACCAAATTACTTGGTCCATAACTCAGTAGATATTACAGATATTTAACTACTGAACACTAACAATTATATAAAAAAAACAAGCTTTTAAAGTAAACATATTTTATAACCTACAAGTTATAATAGGCCTATTAAATTCTTAAGACATTTAGGGAAATATAAGTTAAAGTCCCTGCATTTTGCAATCACACTGCAGCAAAATGTTCTTCAGGCACATCAAAGAAACCAATGTCAACAACCAGTTCCATAGGCAACAAATTTGCTAACACTACAGATCCAGGAGGAACCTTGGGAAAAAACCCTGAAATTCACTGATTTTAAATCACAGCAGCAGCAAACAGAATTTCCTAGACACAAGAATGGAGGAGGAGACATGAATTGTTTAGATTAAAAACACCCTAACTTATGAGAAGTCATTGAAGACAGACTGAAGATCTCAAATTCCTTCCACATTGGGAACATGTCCCTAAAGTTCACACATTACATACATGTTCTGAACTCCCAATTATCATTCTAATGATAATATACTTCTGTGACATTTCAGCATGCTCTACGATCATCAGATCTCTTTCAAAAATGTCAGCTCATACACTACTAGCAGCTTCTCTGAGGAAGAGTTATAAAGTACCACTACCTGCTTAGCAAACCAGGAAAAATGCAACAGAAATAGCTCATGTAAACCAATTTTCCTTGCTAATCTCAGAATTTTTAGCCCAACTGCTCCATGCAGGGCAGGGAAAGGGAGGGAGAAGTCTACAGGCATTCAAGTTATTTCACATAGACTATTCTCTCTCCTCACTACAGAAAAGGAAATCTCAGAAACACGGCACTAAGATCCATTATTAAGCACCTAAGTCGTAGTAGCGCTGTTTATTCCAAATGCCATTCAAATCCAAAAAAGCTCTCCTTTCAAAAAAATCTTAAAATCTTAAGCACTTGCATTCTTCTTATAATAGGCTCTCACATTATACTTCAAATACAAACTTCCTTTGTTTGTATGGTTAACAATAACTGCATTTCTCAGAGGATTGTCAGGCGAGCTTTAGAGATATATATATATAGCTATCATGCTGTATATAGACTGAGAAATGTATCGTTAAAAGGAATATAAAGTTGGATTCTAAGACTCAATTATCCACAGCTGCTTAGTGCCAGTATTTGTAATTGCCTTTATAACTAGCAAGATAGTTCTCTTAACTGTTCTTGGAAAAAGGAGAGGAAGAATAAAACAAACCATGAATCTGACATGGCCGTCATACTGAAGGGTGTACTATTTATTTTAGGTATAAGAAAGGATGGAATTCTTGCTTCCCTGGTCCTTTTAAAAATAGGACATCTTGTGCAAAGCATTTCTTGTGGAATTTGCAACAGTAAAGTGCTTGTGACAATACTGCCAATGTGTCAGGATTTTCAAGACAATTTGGAAGACAAGCCAGCAATCTACGGCAAAAAAGAAGAGTAATTCACACAATGTGCTGAACCTGGCCTTGCTGGCCAGGTAGCCCAGCACTACGCTTTGACAAACCGAAAGGAACACCTGACAGGGTATTGGGCTTGCCTGACCAGGTTTGGTAGGAGGAGTTACAGGGGTGGCTTCGGTGAGAAGCTGCTGGGAACTTCCCCATGTCCTACAGAGACGAGCACAGACCATGATAAGGTGGCTGTCCCCCTGCAGCCCATGGGGATCCACAGTGGAGCAGAGATCCAGATGCAGCCCATGGAGGACCCCACACTGGAGCAGGTGGATGCCTGAGGGAGGATGTGAAGCCACGCTACTGCAGGCTCCTGACAGGACCTCTGATGCCTTGGACAGAGGAGCCCCAGCTGGAGCAGGTTTGCTGGCAGGACTCGTGACCCTCTGGGGGACCCATTCTAGAGCACTTTGTTCACATTTCGCCCGATGCCGAGTGCAATACAAGCCATGCCAACCAGCACCACGACTTGCCAGGCCATGTTCACTGTGGCTAGTTAGCCTCAAAGCTGGCCCAGAAAGTAAGGCAGGTCAGAGGCCATGCTCGCTGTGACAACAGGCACTTGTCCATACCGACCCAGCTCTGAGTGCTACAAAGATCTTGGTAATTCTGGAAAAGTGAGGGATTGCCTGTGTAACCACAATAACCATCCTGCACAGAAGGTACTTCAAACCTGTGAGCAGGTTGGTTTAAGTGCCGAATATTAATCTGCATTATTACTTCAACTAATTTCAGAGACCAAGATGGATTAAACAAAATTCTTGATGACCAGTATTTTAGACCACATACAGACTGATTTCAAAAATTTGTGGAGATAAAATATTCTAATACTCTTGAAAATATTTTAATACTCTTGGATTGGTGAAAATTCAGTTGTTGTAGTTTCAGTAATATATATTTTGAATTTAAATAATAGTCCACATGATGGTAGGCCCAAAGGGATACACAGTAAAATTGCACCAACAATTCTATTTTCCTGAACTGCAAAATTTTGGATTTTTCACTACTGGTTTTGATGTGTCATGCAGAGAAATCTGGGATGGTTTTTCATCGGTAGACTCATTGATCATCCAACACCCTACCTTAATTTCTAACCTTTCTGTTCCCCAAATTCAGGGAATATTATTATCAGCCTCACCCTTACCTGAGTCACATTAATTTTTTAAGTACTTAAGCAAAGTGGCTAGCCATAAATCTGTTTTACTGGAATGTGTCAGCTTTTGGAAACTATCACACTGACTAATAACCCTAATTGGGGGAGTTATGCAGTCTATACTGAATAGCTGTTTACAGTGAAGAAGAAAATGGTACTAAAGAAGGTGAAAGGCACTGGGGTCTGAAAGGGCTCCCACCCTTTGGCCTGAATCAATGTACTCTTGGTAGGCAGGAAGGGACAATTAGATGTAAACATTATTTCTGACTATGAGAGGAGGGGACAGGTGGAAAACATTAAGGCATTCCTAGCAGACCTCATAGCTCCCGTATAACCAGAAAATTAAACAACAGACTTCTGATCAACAGCAGAGCCACACATTCAGTAATAAACAGATGCAAGGGCCTGCTCAGTAAAGTTACAATACTGATTGTTGAGGCCACGAGCTATAAGAATGGCCATAAAACCCTTTTACCCATTGGTAAAAGGGTTTTATGGCCATTCTTACAGCTCATGGACTGTCCCAATTGGACATACTAAACTGACTCCCAAGTTTCTATACCCTAGAATGTCCCCTTCCATTGTCAGGACAAGACTTACCATGCAAGCTGAATGCTCAAGTAACTTTTTTTTGAGAACTGTGTATAGCTATGCATCTCACAGAAAAAGGCATGGAAGCTCAAATCTGCTTACCAATGAACCAGACCTCAAAGGAACATGAAAACTGCATCCTGAACACAGTACTGATTGCTGCTTAGAGCATCAAAATGAATTTAATACCTGTAAAGAAGCCTTGTTCTCAGGTGTATAGGCTGGTACAGGATTTAGGAGCAATAAATCAGATACCTCAACTCTATTGTGTGGATGGGCTTCTTCTACCAGGTGAAAAAGCCCTTTCTGGAACAACAGCATTGGAGAAATTAATGGAGGATTGTCTCCTGTGGGAGGAATCCCACCATGGAGTAGTGAAGACTGTGAAGACTCCTGCTGAGGAGGACAGAGTGGCAGTGTCAACATGCGTGAACTGACCACAATCCCATTCCCTGTTCACCTTTGCTGCTTGGGGGAGAGAAGTTAGAACTTCAGGGTGAAGTTAAGCCCAGGAATAATGGAGTGGGGGAAGTGTTTTTAAGATTTGGTTTTATTTCTCATTATCTTCCTCTGATCTAATTGATAATCAACTCAATTCATTTCCCCAAATCAAGTCTGTTTTGCCCAGGACAGTAACTGATGAGTGATCTCTCCCTACCCTCATCTCGATCCACAAGCCTCTCTCTCCCCTGACTGGTTGAGAAAGGGGGTGACAGAGTGGCTTTAGTGGGTACCTGGCACCTAGCCAGGGTTAATCCACAGCAGCTAGAATAAAAATAGAAGTATGCCCCAAAATCTACTTAATATATTGAACTATATTAGATAAAAGACTTTAAGGGAGCTTAAATTATTTTGAGTAACACAGAAGGTTCTCAGATCAGCTAATAACTGAATACAGCATTCCTCCATTAATTGCCTACACAGTTTAGAACAAGGCCGTCAGAAAAACACAGAGGACTACACATAATCATTAAGAATTTGAAGACAAAAAAGGAGAAAACCTCTGTGGCATTATCGAAACTGACCCTTTATGAGATTTCCCTAAATACCTGCTCTTGTTCATTCTCTGAGACGCCACCACACAGGCTTCTGATGTTACTGCATTGAGACACTCCTATGGAGAAAAATAACTTCCTTTCCTGCGGCTTCTGAACCCCCATTTTTTCCCTCAAAGCTCAAATTTTATACAATTTAACTTCTTCTTTGTTTACAACATAAATACCTTTTAACACGTCAGTCAAATATAATTTCTTCTTCAAAACATAGTCTCTTTTTATTCATATCCCTGACTCCACACCCCATGTTTTTTGTTACTTCAGCCTTCTTTCCGGCTTTCCTAACACCTGGCCTGCCTCACCACATCCACCTGAAATGCTCTTAAGGCTACCAGCCTCACTGGCCGCTCCGGCCCTGTGCAGGTCCCACACAGACGGCAGAGCTGCTCCCTTACGTCGCCATCTCATTGCAGGACCGCTTTACCCCCCCTGAAAAGGCAGAGTTTACCAGAAGGAAGCCTGTTTTCCCCAGGCGGCCCCGAGCACATCCAAGAAAGCCGCTTTTTGGGCAGCTTTTCCGCCCGGCCCTTACAGCTCCCAAGGACCGGCACCCTCCCGCAGCGAAGCCGTCCTGCGGCCGCCCCGCGGGCGGAGCTGAGCGCAGGCCGGCGGGCAGAGCCCCGAGCGCCGCGCTCGCCCCGGGCCTACCTCGGATGTCCACCGCCGCCATGGCCGCGCCGCGCACGGCCGAGCGGGGCGGGGCGCGCGCGGGCAGCGGCCGCGGGGCGGGCGGGGCGGGCCGGGAGCCGTGTCAGCGGAGAGCGCCGCTCGTCCCGAGGCGCGGTGGCCGGCCCGGGGAGCGTCTTCCTGAAGAGAGGGGTTGTGCTGCTCCAGCGCCCCAGCACAAGCAAAAGTGGCCTGCGCTTTGCCTGGTGGTGCATAACCGGGAGGACGGCGCCAGTGCCGAGAATCGACATGCGCATTCGGAGCTGTTTGCTCAGAAGGGGACATACGAGGGTTTTGGGGTTGTTTTCGCCTGATCTTGGCCCGCTGGTCTTTGCCGGTCACTTTCAAAGTGAAAGAGATGTGGGCCACAGGTTGCTGCTCAGCATCATACCCGTCCAGCTTGAGCTGGCGGGGGTAGCCATAATTTAGTTAGCCATGTGGGAATAATAGATGTTTTGAGGTTACATCATCAAAACACTGCATGGTTCCTGTCCTGCGGTATGGTCCTTGGCATTTTGGCTCTTAAGTGAAATCATCAGTCATCAGTTATTTATAGAGTGAAGAGCAACACTCAGTAGCTGGAGGAATATACATAAACTGAAGATTATTAAGCTCTTTATTTAGATTGACAACTACAGTCTCCCAGTCTGCTGTGCAGTGTGTCCAATATCCCTATGTCAGGCTAGCTGTACCTCCAGGGGCTCTGCCTTTGCTGCCGAGATCAGCCATCCCCTTGCCAGCAGTAGCCGAGTCTCAGAGAGCCTGGAGTTATCACCTTGCTGATGGCATGTGATCATAGCTGGTGGTGGAATCTCTTGCCCTTCCATTAGAGGCCTGTGTGAAAAAAGTATAGGAAGTACTTTACTGTGTATGAAGTACAGGAAAGGGATATTATTATTGTACAAGGGCAATAAAGAAGTTAGAGCAAAAGAGAGATCATGCTGCTTATTTACTCCCTATTCAGTCCTCTCATATTAATGCATTAGGAGACAGACTGTAATTGCAAAACCACATACTCTATTATTTTTTAATTCCCAGGATTCCTACCTCATTCAATATGTTAAAGTCACTATAATGTGCGAATGCTCTGGGCTTGTTTTCTGTGAAGAAGAAGTGCCTGCAAAACACATGCTTTACATGTTTCTGGTGTTGAAAAATATGAAGGTACCAAGTGAAGGTTACAGAAAGTGACAAGGTCAGGCAGAAAAATGCTGGTTTGAAAAACTGGACTCTAGTCTTGCAAGTATTATAGTCATGCATTAAATTAATGAAGTTTTTTCAGACTCAGATTTATAGATGTGCTGGTCCTTAATACAAATAAAGTAATGCTGGTCATGCTTTGTGTGTTTTGTAATTCTTGCACAGTGAGAAGTTAAGGTCTCTAAAGTCTCTCACAGTTTATTATTCAAAATAAGATTTTTGTATTCTTAGTGTCTCCCAGCTACATCTCTAAAAGGGAGGTGATAACAGGCCCTGTAGCTCTGAATGGTTCATGAAAATAAATTTGATAATATCTGCAAAAATAGGAGGCTGGGATGGTAAGTGTTCTGAGAAAATTAATCTTTTCTTCAAAAAAATATTTGCTCAATTGGCAAAGTAAAAAAGATTTAATGGTGGAAGAAAAAATACTGAACAGAAGTGCACTGTCCAACTGTAATGTAATACTGAATTCAGAAGAAAGTCATGAAAACAGTGCTTGGTATCATTTAATGGCACAACTAGATTAAAAATCAAATTTAACCTTAATTTTTCAATTTCACGCTTCCTGGATACTTGTCTTTGCCACTGAGATAATATTTTGTGTAATACGTGCTTTTCCATGGAGTAATTCTCCTGTGTGCACACTGCAGATCCCCATTCATTAGTTAGCTGCTACTGGTTAGCAGTTTCTACCTTTGCCAAACACATCTCCCTAGTGTTATCCACACTAGAATGTTTCCAAATAATACTGATAGGCTGCCATGATAAACCAAATACCTTTATGAACCTGTCAAGAGCAATCCTCCTGGAGGGAAAAATGCCACCAGACATCACAGTCATCCTTCGGAAGCATTTCTGATGCCCTCTTTTATTCTATTTTTGTGAAAACCATTTCTTTTCAGTAACAAATGTAAACTCGACCTCTATTTTAATTATTCATGTTGTCCATCTTTCCTGCTGACTCTGCACCTCTCTTTAGCAAGTATGTCTTCAGATGAGCAAGCAGCTGAAAAGTAAAGATACCTGGGTGGGAAATAATGGGGCTTGATTGCTTACAATGAATTTTCAATTACATAGTGAGACTGCATGCTGGAAGGCATTGTTAATCTGGTAATATTTTCACCTTCTGCTATAGCATAAAAGATGAGGGCTTTTTCACTTGTCTTCCTCTAAAGGGAGAGTCCTAATGAGCATTGGAGTTCTGTCCCTCTTAGCAGGAGGTGTGGATTACAGATGGAGAGATAATGAAAGCTATCACATAAAATGAGGAATTTATGCACACTGCATTTGATGTCAGAGAAAGGCACCTTAAGCAATGAGCATTTAGACATATTCATTCAATTTGTGTGCTTTAAAAATGCATAAAACCCTTGGATAAAAACTGACACGTTTTCTAGTCCCAGTGTTCGGATGTCACTTAGTGTCACTCTCCCTGCAGTGGAATTATTTTTCTGTACTCCTATGGTCAGAGCTAATGAGGAATCTCATGCTACTATGCTCCCCTAAGTATAACAGAAGAGACTGTCCCTAGTTTACAGTGTTTGTTATCTCTAGTGGATGCAGGATTGTTAGCACTGAGTGCTCTAAACCACATTATAGGTACAGCAGGGAGACTACCAAGGAGTCCCTTTATGGTTTCAAATAAGCACAGCTGAACTGAGAGGACTACATCTAAAAAAGGATGGAAAACCATCTCTGGGCACATTTCTAACAGTCTGCAGAGACTGAACAAATAAGCTAGCTATATGCCATGAGGTGAAAAGTATTGTTTGTAAATCCTTATCATTAAACTCTGGGTGGTTTCCAAAACATAATAGGGGCTCCCGAACAACGATATCATCACAGCACCTCAGATTCTGCCCACCTGCATTTGAACTCACAGATTAATAGTAAATATCTCCAAGTCTCATTCTATGTTCCATTAAATCTAGTTCTGCAATGAAGCTCAAGGGAAATTTAAATTTTTGTGCTAATGAAAAATTTCTGGGCTTGAATTACTTATTAAATGAGCAATTTGCTACTGGTTTATAATAAGTAGGAATGGAAAAATATTCTTTTAAATCCTTATCTCATAGTTTGAGGGAAAACCATGAGAGAGAAATGTATGGGCAATGCAAAGAAAATGCTGAAATCACAAAATGTGTAAGGAGGGAAAGGAAATATTTGAGGGAGCTGCCATGAGTTCATCACCCATATTCTGTTGTAACATTTTTGCTTGTGAAGTTTCTCTTTCCACCCTGAAAACACTTATGTTGCTGGTATCTTCAGATGGCATTACACATGCAGTCATTTACAAAACAGCTTCCACAGGCCTCAAAAGCCATCACTGAATTATGCTTTAGAAATCCACTGTACAGCCAAATTGCAAAATTCTGATTTTTTAAATCCTTAATCAGGCACTTTTGCTGACTTCAAAGTCTGATAATTTCTCCTTTCGCTCAGTGCATCTGCATGTTCTTTTCCTTTTCCTGAGATGCTGTTTTCTGCACAGTTTTTATAAATACTGCTAATCACATGCATTGACTATAAAAAAAATAGCCAGGCTTGTAAGCTCTTTTTTTTTTTCCCCCCCCTGGAAAAATGCCACTGGGAAAATCTAACTAAAGTGGATGCAATTATGGCTGCAGCCAGTGCCCTTCTCAAAACTGTGTCCCCCTCACCTTGTTGCTCTCAGCTCTGGGCTGCAAAGAGCAGAGGGACTGAGGGATACTAGGAATAATGTTCCTGGCATCTTCACATCATTTCAATACATCTCATAGTGCTTTATTAGAGTCTCCTGTTTGAAAGAATGGGGAAAGAAAATATTAAACCCTGCTAACAGTCTAAAAGCTTCCTGAAAACAATTAATCTCCCAGTAAGCCCCAAAAGGCTATCTGTCAAGAAGTTAATAAAGATGAAATGTCAGGATGCCACATGGCTTCTAGCAACTGCAGGCAGGAGGGGAAATGAGCTTCCAAGCAAAGAAGCACAAACTATGTCATCTTGCATATGATCATGTATTAAAACCAGCAACTGCAGATGCTGACTTTTGTGTCTCTGCAGACATCTCTGACCTTAGCATCTCTGCTGCTGCACTGGCTTTGTCAACGTAAAAGCCAGTGACAAAGGAGGATGCAGCAAGTACAATCTACAGGTGTTGGATCACGCGGAGGGAACTGGTGGGAAAAGCAGAAACTGCCCCATGTCCCTAGAGCTGTACAGGTCACATACAGGCCAATATCTAGCAAGAGGCAGATGAAGCTGTCAGGCAACTCTGGAGCACAGCCCCCATCCCATACAGCTCTACTTGTGTGCATTTGTTAGCTGGGTTGGGAGTCAGCCAATGTTTTATTTCCCCCCAGTTTCCAAAGGGCAGATCAGGGCCCTGGAGTACAGCCGTGGCCCAGTCACTGCCAACAAGCAGTGTCTGCTGACAATGAAGGCTTGCCCAGGACAGGGAAGGGGAGGAAAGCAAAACAATCTTCTTACCATACAGCCTGTTTATTGCACATGTCTAGCAATTTAATATTCCCAATCTCTGGACTGCACCACAGCCTTGGCATTTGGTGGATACCTCTCAATAACCTTTGAATGCCCTCATTTTACTGTTCATTGTACCTCCAAATATGACCAAACTACAAAGTCATTGATTTCTATGCCTTTAAGTCTGGCACTTAGCTGATCTGAAAGAGTTCTTCAGTAAAATAGTCTCTCTAGTCTGATTAAGAAATCAGATTTATTTTCCTGATTTATTGTACTTTCTATTGAGAAACAGAGGGCTTCAGTTTGGCAGTGAGCCCTGTGCTTCCCAGTGGGAGGATGCAAAACAGGCTGACCAGATCAGGAAGTGAAAATAAACACTTAATTTCTGTATTTCAATGTTGGAGAGAGCTACAAAATCCAGCAAGCAGCAATGGTGGCAGAACATGAACAAAACTGTCTAGCAATATCTCTGCTTCAAAAACTGCAGGCTTCATAATGCTAAAAGTGGTCTATTTCACTTCAGTGAAGAATTTTCATTTCTGCTTTGTCCATTGAGTCACTAATACTTTTTCTCTGCACCTTCCATCTATCAAAAACAGATATCCTCACCTACCATTAAATCTTAGTGTGCACACTTCATCACTTGTCTCAGATACCTAACGGGCCAGGCAGGTCTTTAATTAGAGCTCTTTTTCCCTGCTCTCCTTTTGCATTATTTTTTACTGGTGTTGGTTGCCTGTTAATTCTAATACCTTTGCTTCCTTCACAGGATTTTTACATGTCCCCACCTCAACAGGTACTGAAAAAAGCCATGTTATTTCCATCCTGGCTGCACTGCTCTTCTTTATCTGTGCCTCCACACTATCCAAAGTCGAACACAGGCAAGTGGCCTAAGCATTGAGCCCAGGTACTGGCTGTATAGCCAGGGCCGCTCATCCCTGGGTCAAGAGTGAGCAGGAATTTGACATTAATGTCTAAGGTGGGCAACCTGGCCTATTTGGTGGGCCTGTGGAAAATGATCTGTAACAAAATGTTCCTTCCCTGCTGGGTAATACTGCATATATCAAAAGGTAACTGGACACTGTTTTGGAGAGAGGAAAGGCAACATATCCAGTTTGGTAGAGGTGGCATGAGTTTATGGGGGCCTTTCATCTCAACAGCTACATGGTCTT